ACTTTTCAGCGTTGTATGAATGACCTGTTTAGACCATGGTTAGATAAATTTGTAGTAGTCTACTTAGATGATATCCTAGTCTTTAGTAAGACCCTCCAGGAGCATCAGGGTCATCTGAGGCAGGTCTTGGAGACGCTTAGAGAGGTTAACTTCAAGATCAACGCGAAGAAGTGCGAGTGGGCCAAGACGCAAGTTTTGTACTTGGGCCACGTACTAGACGGAGATGGCGTCAAGCCAGAGGACAGCAAGATGGCGGCGATTAGAGATTGGCCGACGCCCCGCACATTGACAGAGTTGCGGTCGTTCCTAGGCTTAGCTAACTACTACAGGAAGTTCGTGAGGAACTTCTCCACTATCGTCACTCCCTTGCGCCGATTGCTGAAGTAAGAGGCAATCTGGCAATGGGACAAAGACTGTACGTCTGCGCTCAAGAAGCTAAAGCGCGCGTTAATAGAGTATCCTGTCCTCAAAGTTGCAGATCCGTCTTTGCCGTTTGTCGTCACCACTAACGCGAGTCAGTATGGGATAGGCGCTGTGTTGCAGCAAGACGACGGCAATGGCTATAGACCCGTAGAGTTCATGTCAGCGAGGATGCCCTGTGAAAAGGTTGCTGCCTCCACGTACGAAAGAGAACTCTACGCCCTCAGGCAGGCTTTAGACCATTGGAAGCACTACCTGCTTGGGAGGCACTTCAAAGTCTACTCGAACCATGAAACACTTAGATGGTTGAAGACCCAGGCCAAGATGACACCGAAGTTGACTAGGTGGGCCGCAGAGATAGACCAATTCGACTTTGAGCTCAAGCCAGTGAAGGGCAAGTACAGTGTAGTGGTGGATGCTCTAAGTAGGAGATCACACTACTTTGGAGCCGTAGTACATTATCTGGATATAGGGAGAGACCTGCAGGAGAAAGTGAAACAAGCGTATACGCAGGACCCTATCTATAGCGACCTCCTAAAGAGAGTTAGAGAGGCCCCAGAGACCGAACCAGATTACCGCACTACAGACGGGTTGCTGTTTGAGAAGACTAATGTGTTTGACCGTCTGTGCGTTCCCAACAGCGAAGAGATTCGTAGTCTGATTCTAGGGGAATGTCACGATACTGAGGGACACTTCGGTTGGCAAAAGACGTTAGCCAATTTGATGCGTGCGTACACATGGCCAGGGATGAAGAACGACTGCATAGAGTATGTCCGCAGTTGTAAAGGATGTCAACGAAACAAATCTACTACACGCGCGCCCCTAGGTCTTCTCAGACCCTTGCCTATTCCGGATCAGCGGGGAGACTCAGTGTCCATAGACTTCATGGACACGCAAGTCAAGAGTAGACATGGTGAGAGCCAAGTCATGGTCATAGTCGACCGTTTTAGTAAATATGCAGTTTCCGTCCCTTTGCCTACAGAGGCACGTACAGACTTAGTTATACAGAAGTTTTTTGACTTTTGGGTTAGTGAGAATGGAATCCCAATGTCAATAGTTAGTGATAGAGACAGTCGTTTCACCAGCCAGAACTGGCAAGAACTCGTGAGAGTCTACGGATCTAAGTTGTTAATGTCGTCCGGCCGTCACCCAGAGACTAACGGTCAGACAGAACAGATGAACAAGATCCTACAGCAAGTTCTGCGCATGTATATTAGACCAGATCAGATCAATCGGGATGAGATGTTGCCCAAGGTCGCTAGTGCATACAACAACAACGTGCATCTATCCACCTGCCGCACTCCCAATGAGTTGCACAAGTCCTTTAGACCGCGCAGACCGTTCGAAGGACTGAACCGGGATCAGATTCACAGATTACCTTCCGGCACCAGGGAGTTTGCGATACAGCACGAGAAAGAACTAGCAACTGTTGTTGAAAACCTCAGGAAGGCCCAGCATAAGATGATAGAACAAGCTAATAAGCACCGCCACCCGTCGCAGTTTCAGGTAGGCGACTTAGTCTGGGTCAAGGCAAAGGAGTTTGCACTGGAAGAAAACATCTCGCAGAAGTTACTGCCTGCATATAGAGGACCGTGGCCGGTTCTAGAAGTCAAGGGCGGAGAGGATGGACCGTCCAACAGCATTGAGATTCCAGCACACCTCCACACATACCCTGTGTTTCATGCTTCAAAGCTGCTGCCGTGTGTCACTAGTCAACAGTTCCCTTCCAGGAGATCCATGATTCCACCGGATATGGATGGGAGCTATGACATAGAGGGCATTGTAGAAGAGGATGTGTTTAGGACAGGAGGTAGAGGTCGTCCCCAAAAACAGTATGAAGTCCGGTTTGCCTATCAGGAACCGGAAGACGACCGCTGGTTCACGAAAGCAGAACTTCTAGAGACTGCTCCCGACATCGTCAGAGCCTATGAGCGTGACAAGAAAGGTAAAGGTCCCGCCTTGGACTGAAATTTTCTCGGAGGACCTCGAAATTAGGACGGCGGGAGTGAAACGGTTTTCACCTTTTAGCAGTGGCGGATGCAGTACCCAGGGTTCGATCCCTAGACCTCACTCTACCCATGTGCAGTATCTGTGTAGACCCCGAGCATTGAACATGTGACCTGTGTATTCGTAGGCAGTTGGTAGGCCTGTCGTAGGTCCATAGGCAGCAGGGGTTCGATCTGTAGGTCTATAGCGTAGGAGTCTTAGTGAGTTCCGGAAGCTTAGCTGTAGACCTTCTAGAAGGTAGGCAAGTGGGCAAGTGGTCAAGTGGAGAGGCAAGTGGTGGACTAAACCGCAGTGCAACAGCAGTACAATGTTGGTAGGATAGCGGTGAGTCCACGGTCAGTCAGCGGAAGGTCCAGTCAGTCCCAGTCCGGTCCAGCAAGTACCACAGGGGTACTGTGAGCACCAAGGGCAAATGGCAAAGGGCAGACCAACGAGTTTCTGAAGTATAAATCAAGAGGCAGCGCCCAGCCATTCAGTATTCATTCCTGCGTGAGCCATGCGGAAGCGCTGCCACAGCGACTTGTGCAAGGAGGTCTGCAGATGAGCCCGAAGGACGCAGTGGGCAAGAGAGAGGGAGTTAGTCTAGCGATAGGTTAGATGCAGCGATAGCTGCCATAGATGTAGTTAGTAGTGAGTGTGTGTGTGTGTGCTCGAGTGTTAGAGTGATGCGTGTGGGATATCCAGGGTGATCCAGTGTATGTGAACAGTGAGAT